CCCCAAAACCCCAAAACCCCAAAACCCCAAAACCCCTAAACTATTATAAATAATTGAAAAGATGCATTATCAGCCTGCAAGGGCAATAGACGAGACTTACAGAGAGCCACATAATAAAATCTCTAATTTCCTTCAGTCAGAACTTGTTAAAGAAATCTTTCCGGAGTTTAACCCTCCAAATCCCCCGCCGAGGCAGTATGACCAGCCTGGGATTCCCCGGCCAAGTATGGGTAAGACATTTGGATAAGAATTTTGGGGAATTAGGGGATTTGGAGTTTTTGGGATTTTTAATTATAGGGGGAATTAATACACCAAGAATGGAAATGAGTAAGGTGGTTTGATCATTTTAGAAGATTCAGTTCATAATTTCCCGAGAAATCTTAGCCAGCCAAGGTTTACACCAAGGCCACAGGATTTGCCAATGCCGAGTGCTGGTTCAAATCATTTCCCAGCCCCAAGTAATCTGTGAGTTTGGAGTAGTAATTTTTAGTTCGGATAAATTAATCATGGAAAATCAGCAGATGATGAACCGGATTAATCAACTTGAAGAAGAAATGAAGAATCCAATTCCCAAGAAAGTAATGACTTATCTCTATCTTCAATATTTAGTCAAAGAATAGGAAATAAGAAAAAGAAATATTCTTCAGATGTAAGTGCTGAATATAATGAAATAGGATGATTCTTCAGAGGATGATAGTAGCTCTGACAGTGATAATAAAAATGGATTTTTACCAAATATTATGTCAATGCCAATGCTACCTCCAAGGCCTCCTCCACAGTATTATCCACCTGTGAATCCTTTCATGTTTCACCCATTCCAATTTCCACCTTTCCAAAATGTAACTGCGAAGGCTGATATTATAGAGACCGAATCCACACCAAGAAGGAACTCCAAGAAGAGCTAGTAGACCAAAGAGATTAAAGAAACCAAAGAAGAAAAAGAAGGTCCCTAAGAAAAAGTCTAAGAGCATCAGACCTCCAACCAGAAGCACTACATCTTTCAGTAGGGACTCTACCAGGACTCATCTTCCTCCAATAAAGAAATAAGAGGAGTCCTACTATCGGGAATTTGGATGTAGATGCTCTGACAGCTCTTCGGCGAAACCCTAATTCCCCTCTTAAAAATATGGATGACTCAACTCTTCTCCGAGACTTGAACCTTAAGGAATTTGATAAAACTGAAAAGCTCACCAAAGACAACATGGATACAGATTTTAGCCGTGAAAATAAGGGTTATAAAGCAAATTTCCTACAAAGAGATCAGGATGAGAGCACATTAAGGCCAATTCAGAAATTTAGAGCAATTTCTTGGGCCATAGTTCACTTTTTATGGTTATTCAAGTTGGCTCAGGATTACAGGCTGAAAAAGAAGGATAATGAAGGGAAATTGATTGGCCCTACTTTGGAGATTATATCACAAGCTATCCGGATGTGGCTGTTTGACATCCTCAAGATCCCTGTGACCTCTGTTGATAAGATGAACACTAAATTTTTGGACGTGAAACCTCATAAATATCAACCCTCAAAAGAAATTGAGATGTCCTTTAGAAAACTTAGTGTCAGGGTTGAGGGTATAGTCAATATCCTTTTTGAGCAGACTGGTTATCTTCCTGATTTAATGACTAAATTTTTCAGGAAAATCTTTAGAGAGGGAGGATACATCAATCAAGAATACTGGACTCCCTTTGAAATGCAACGGATTGAACTTGATGAGCTCGAAACTCTTAAAAACTTCACAAAAGAAAGATCAATGTTCTTAATGAGTTATTTGGTCTTAGCTAAAATCCTAGTGCAGAGCTTCCTCTTGAGCCCTCAGAATATCAGAGGGTTCAAAGTAAGCAAGAAGGAAAAAGAAATTCTTAAAGTCATTGGGTCGATTTTGTACTATATATACAGAGATGCAGTCATTGGTGAGCAATCCAGTCTAATTTCTAGATAATTTTACAACTCCAGATGAATCTTTTAAACCAGGCTCAAGAGAATCAAGTGATGGAAATTTTAGCAGAGCATCCTCCAGATCTATACTGTCAGGAGCAAAGAGCTCAAGAGATATATTAAGCGGCTATGGGTCTCGAAACATTTCAAATAAGCCTGAAAGCAAGATAAGTTCTAGATTGATGAACCCGACTATGTTAGGACAAGGTGATGATGAATTACTCTCTAAATTGACTCCAAGAAACCGTCTGGGGTACATATTTGAGCTAGAGTCTTCCTGGGTTAAAAGAGTTAAGATGAAGTTGATAAGATGGGTAAGAGCTTTGCATTACTTTATTCAAATGAGGAACAAAAATCGAAAGCTCAGCTCTAGAATATCATCTAGGTCATCCAAAAGATTATAATTTTAAATTATATTTTCGCTACTTTGTATTTCTTGTCTTCAAAGCTATGAGAATTTCTTTGTGAGAACTGATCTAAAAATTCCAGAATTATTTCAACCATTTTTATATTGAAAGGGGTTTTGGGGTTTTGGGGTTTTGGGGTTTTGGGGTTTTGGGG